GCATGATTATAGTATGAATTAACATGTTACTAGCATGATTCTAGCGTGAATTAGCATGTTATTAGCATGATTTTAGCATGCATTAGCATGTTACTAGCATGATTATAGTATGAATTAGCATGTTATTAGCATGATTCTAGTATGAATTAGCATGTTATTAGCATGATTGTAGTATGAATTAGCATGTTACTAGCATGATTCTAGTATGAATTAGCATGTCACATAGCATGCTTAGGTGGTTGCTAGGGTATTCTGAGTGGTTGCTAAGTCGTTGCTAGGCAGTTGCTAGGGTGTCCTGAGTGGTTGCTAGGTGGTTGCTAAGATGTTGCTAGGCGGTTGCTAGGGTGTTGCTAGGTGGTTGCTAGGGTGTTCTGAGTGGTTGCTAGGTGGTTGCTAAGGCATTGCTAGGCGGTTGCTAGGGTGTTCTGAGTGGTTGCTAGGTTGTTGCTAGGCAGTTGCTAGGGTGCTCTGATTGGTTGCTAGGTGGTTGCTAAGGTCTTGCTAGGCGGTTGCTAGGGTGTTCTGTGTGGTTGCTAAGATGTTGCTAGGTGGTTGCTAGGGTGTTCTGAGTGGTTGCTAAGGTGTTGCTAGGTGGTTGCTAGGGTGTCCTAAGTGGTTGCTAGGTTGTTGCTAAGGTGTTGCTAGGTGGTTGCTAGGGTGTTCTGAGTGGTTGCTAGGTGGTTGCTAAGGTGTTGCTAGGTGGTTGCTAAGGAGTCCTAAGTGGTTGCTAGGCGGTTGCTAAGGTGTTGCTAGGTGGTTGCTAGGGTATTCTGAGTGGTTGCTAAGGCGTTGCTAGGCGGTTGCTAGGGTGTCCTGAGTGGTTGCTAGGTGGTTGCTAAGGTGTTGCTAGGTGGTTGCTAGGGTGTCCTGAGTGGTTGCTTGGTGGTTGCTAAGGCGTTGCTAGGCGGTTGCTAGGGTGTTCTGACTGGTTGCTAGGTCGTTGCTAAGGTGTTGCTAGGCGGTTGCTAAGGTGTCCCAAGTGGTTGCTAGGTGGTTGCTAAGGTGTTGCTATGTGGTTGCTAGGGTATTCTGAGTGGTTGCTAAGGCGTTGCTAGGCGGTTGCTAGGGTGTCCTGAGTGGTCGCTAGGCCCTTACTAAGGCATTACTAGGCCGTTGCTAGGTGGTTGCTAGGCGGTTGCTAGGGTAATTTGGGTGGTTGCTAGGCAGTTGCTAGGGTACCCTGGCTGGTTACTAGGCAAGCCTCACATACATGCTTGATAAAACATTTATACTTAGTAAGCATTTCTAGCAAGTTACAGTACTTGGCTAGTCAATATTAGCATGTAGCTAATCACTGCTAGCATGTGTAGCATATAGGAAGTTCCTTTTGCTAGCATGAGTCAAACGAGCCAATCTCCAAGTCTCTATGATGTTCTGATGCTGGGATATAGCTGTTGATGAATGGTTGCTAGGGTACTCTGTTTTGTTGCTATGGGCAAGGTTACAGAGTGAACTTGAATGTGGTTGGCTGTTTAAGTCAAATGAACCAACCCCCATGTCTCTATGACACTGCTATGCAAAGATATGCATCTTGGCCTATTTTAATGAAAGTCTATGGAATCAATTTGGGGGCGTGGCTTGTGAGCTTCATTATCATATTGAGATGCTCATTGGTTGTCTGAGTCAGATGAGCCATCCCCCAAGTCAATAGGACACTGCTAAGCAAAGATATGCATGTAGGCCAGTTATTAACATGAGTCTAGCATGAATTAGCATGTTACTAGCATGATTCTAGTACAAATTAGCATGTCATTAGCATGTTTCCAGTATGAGTTAGCATGTCATTAGCATGATTAGCATATGAGTTGCATGTTGCTAGCATGATTGGCATGTCATTAGCATGTTAGAATTATAAGCATTTAATAGCACAGCTAATTACAGTCTATAGGACAGTTGCTAGGGTGCAGTATGTGGTAGTTAGGGGTGTGGCTAGAAAGTTAAAAGGCCATCAGTGATTGGCTGCTGGCTAGACTCAGTTAAATGAGCTCAGCCATTAGTCTGTATGACAGTCTGATGCAGAGTTATGAGCTCACAAAGTTTGATCCCATGTAAAGTCAATGAGAGTCTTTTTTGAATGGAAGTCTATGGGACAGTTGCTAGGGTGCAGTATGTGGTAGTTAGGGGAGTGGCTAGAAAGTTAAAAGCTCATCAGTTATTGGTAGTTTGGTAGTCTGAGTTAAATGAGCTCAGCCATTAGTCTGTAAGACAGTCTGATGCAGAGTTATGAGCTCACAAAGTTTGATCCCATGTTAAGTCAATGAGAGTCTTTTGAATGGAAGTCTATGGGACAGTTTCTAGGGTCCAAAAGTGGTTGCTAGGGCGTGGCTAGAAAGTTTAAAAGTGATCAGTTATTGGCAGTTTGATATTATGAGTTAAATGAGCCCAGTTAGAGTTCTGTGCGACAGTCTGACGCAAAGTTACGAGGTCACAAAGTTTGGTCCAATGTTAAGTCTATGGGATTTTTCCGACAGTCCCGGGACGTTTTTCGGAAAACCGAAAGTCGGATCAGTCTGAGTAGATATAGCAACCCGAGTCAGAATAGTTCGGAGGTCTGGTGTGAGTTTGGTGGTAATAGCTTGAAAGCTCTAGGAGGAGATGCGTTTTGTTTTTTAGTCTCAGAAGAAGAAGAATAACTAGATTCTTAAAGTTTGAGAACAAACTTTGAGGCTGGCTTGTGAAAGCCTGACGGTAATTGTTTATTTAGTTTAAACAGTTTTAAAAAGTATGAAAAGATAGATAGATAGATAGATTAGCATGTTATTAGCATGATTCTAGCGTGAAATAGCATGTTGTTAGCATGATTCTAGCATGAATTAGCATTTTACTAGCATCATTTTAGCATGAATTAGAATGTTGTTAACATGAATTAGCATGTTACTAGCATGATTTTAGCATGAATTAGCATGTTGTTAGCATGATTCTAGCATGAATTAGCATGTTTTAGCACGATTCCATTATGAATTAGCATGTTACTAGCATGATTTTAGCATGAATTAGCACAATTCTAGCATGAATTAACATGTTGTTAGCATGATTCTAGCATGAATTAGCATGTTGTTAGCATGATTCTAGCATGAATTAGTATGTTACTAGCATGATTCTAGCATGAATTAGCATGTTACTAGCATGATTCTAGCATGAATTAGCATGTTGTTAGCATGGTTCTAGCATGAATTAGCATGTGACTAGCATGATTCTAGCATGAATTAGCATGTTGTTAGCATGATTCTAGCATGAATTAGCATGTTATTAGCATGATTCTAGCATGAATTAGCATGTACCTAGCATGATTTTAGCATGAATTAGCACGATTCCAGCATGAATTAGCATGTTGTTAGCATGATTCTAGCATGAATTAGCATGTTGTTAGCATGATTCTAGCATGAATTAGCATTTGACTAGCATGATTCTAGCATGAATTAGCATGTGACTAGCATGATTCTAGCATGAATTAGCATGTTGTTAGCATTATTCTAGCATGAATTAGCATTTGACTAGCATGATTCTAGCATGAATTAGCATGTGACTAGCATGATTCTAGCATGAATTAGCATGTTGTTAACATGATTCTAGCATGAATTAGCATGTTACTAGCATGATTCTAGCATGAACTAGCATGTTGTTAGCATGATTCTAACATGAATTAGCATGCTACTAGCATGATTCTAGCATGAATTAGCATGTTGTTAGCATGATTCTAACATGAATTAGCATGTTACTAGCATGATTCTAGCATGAATTAGCATGTTGTTAGCATGAATTGGCATGTGACTAGCATGATTCTAGCATGAATTAGCATGTTGTTAGCATGATTCTAGCATGAATTAGCATGTGACTAGCATGATTCTAGCATGAATTAGCATGTGACTAGCATGATTCTAGCATGAATTAGCACGTAACTAGCATGTTTCTAGCATGAATTAGCATGTTGTTAGCGTGATGGATGGATGGATGGATGGATGGATGGATGGATGGATGGATGGATGGATGGATGGATGGATGGATGGATGGATGGATGGATGGATGGATGGATAGATAGATAGATAGATAGATAGATAGATAGATAGATAGATAGATAGATAGATAGATAGATTTAACATTTGTATATTTTATTTTTTTATGTACAGCATGTGTGTATTTATACATTTATACATAAATACATAGAGTACATGTACTGTTTCTCCATGTTTTGCTGGTAATGTCTTTAAATAAATAATTATTTTAGCCCATTTAATTGTTCATTTATTATTTATGTACAATAATTAATACATAAAATGAGATTTTTTACGCAGCGGATGAACTTCCAGGTGCAACTTAGTACTGGAAAACACCCATACACACTCATTCTTACACATACACTACAGCCAGTTTAGTTCATTCAATTCAACTCATGTCTTTGGACTGTGGAGGAAACCGGCATCAAACCAGCGACCATCTTGCTGTGAGGGGACTGTGCTAACCACCAGCCACTGTGTCGCCCAGCACTAATTATATTATATTATATTATATTATATTATATTATATTATATTATATTATATTATATTATATTATATTATATTATATTATATTATATTATATTATATTATATTATATTATATTATATTATATTAATTATTCATTCATTTTCTTTTCGGCTTAGTCCCTTTATTAGTCTGGGGTCGCCTCAGCGAAATGAACCCACCAACTTATCCAGCATATGACAGATCCATTTACACTCATTCTTATACACCATAGACAATTTAGCCTACCCAATTCACCTATAGCGCATGCTTTTGGACTTGTGGGGATAACCGGAGCCCCCGGAGGAAATGCAAACTATATATTATATTATATTATGTCATGTCATGTCATGTCCTGTCCTGTCCTGTCCTGTCCTGTCATATTATATTATATTATATTATATTATATTATATTATATTATATTATATTATATTATATTATATTATATTATATTATATTATATTATATTATGTTGCATTAATGTATATGTTTGATTGAGACACATGTTTGTTTTTGCAGGGTTGGTTCAGCCCAGGCCAGGTGTTTGTTTTGGATGAGTACTGTGCTAGATATGGAGTGCGGGGCTGCCATCGTCACCTCTGCTACCTGAAAGACCTGATGGATTTCTCGGATAACAACGCCCTGGTGGATCCCACACTCCTACATTATAGTTACGCCTTCTGTGCCTCACACGTCCACGGAAACAGGTATTACAATATCTTAAAATATAGTTTACTTTCATGAAAAGTTAGTTTTGGTTACATTATTTATTTATTTATTTATTTATTGATGAATGAATGAATGAATGAATGAATGAATGAATGCATGCATGCATGCATGCATTGCCTGGAAATAGAACCATTGACCTTGACAATGCTCTGTTTATCTAAGCTACATAAAGGCTGTATATTGAGTGGGTAAATATGTTTTTTAGCTTAGGAAAGTGGATTTCTCCTCACTTGAGATATTGAAGTATGAAAATGTTGTATGTGCTTTGGATTTCAGTTTTTTTTTTCTTTCAGTTTTTATTTTTGCGGTATCACTTGTTTACTGAGCTCTGCACATGAGAATGACTGCTAATCAAATCCAAGAGCTAATGATTATATAGATCAATCTTGTACTTTTTGTTAGGGTGGCTTGGTTATGGAAAAAATCATTTAATCAAAATTATTTTGGTCATAATTGTAATCACAATTATTCACTGTAAAAAAACATACTTTAATTATAGCTACAAAAATTCTTCAGTCGAGAGCAGTGAGTAATTTTCTTCTTTTTTTATCATTAATAATGATAAAAACAGTCAGAAATGTTGCGCCCTGTCACTTTAAGAGCATTACCACTTTAATTTATGGTTTTACTTTCACGTGTCTTTTGATTCTCAACTCGTTTGTTCATTACATAAATGAAGGTTAATAGGAATAATCACTAAACACCACATTTTGAAACAAATTTGCATGTATTTGACCATTAAACCGGTCACATTAAGATGACTTTTGATATGTGTTACTGCTCCTCTCTGAGGCTGAGCCCATACACACAGCAGCATGCGATCTCTTTTGCGCTTTTAAAAACATGAATGATTTGAATGTACATCAATGAATGATGCGCATCGCTTGCTGCAAAAGTCACATTACAGTAAATACTTTCAGTAGTTTTCACAAGAAACTGAACTTTGCAGAGCAACAAAAATAAAGTGTGCAACTGGAAAAGAGCGGTATTTGATGCAATAATCATTTATCTCGATCAATTTTTTTTAATAGTTTGAAGCCAAAATCGAAACAGAATTATGATTATTTGTACAACCCTACTTTTTGTATAAACATTTTTTTATTAATAACCTGCTATTATAAACATAAAAAATCCTAATCATATTTCCAATAAATAAACATTTTTTTACAATGAAAAATCCGTTATTTCATAGCTTTTTATTTAATTTAATTCAATTTTTTAAAAGCAAACTGTTAGGGTCCAGTAGAAAGATCAAATTGATGTTTATGTGATGCCTACATGTTAACATATTTATTTGTATATAGGCATGGGACTGTATAAGTTTCTTACGGTATGATTACCTTAGATAAAAATACCACAGTATCATGGTGTTGTGATTACTGCTCTAAACTGCTCTTACTGCTCTAAAATAAGATCATTTCAAAATGTCTGGTACAAAAAAAAACTATTTATCTTATTTTAAAAAACATTAAATCATATTTTGGAACAGTAAACATGTCAGACTAAATAGTTCAAATAAATCATTGACTTCTGCTCTCTTCATTAGCTTCAAAAACACAGATTTCTTCACAACACATACAAAATACATCTAAAAAATAACATTACATATACCTTGGGATTAGTATAACAGAACATTTAGCAGTATTTTCCAGTATTTTAACTTTGGTAAACCTTAAAACAGATCATTGTCCCATGCCTTAATTGTAGCATATTTAATTGGGAAGTTGGGCAAAGCAGTGGCGCAGTTGGTATTGTTGTTGCCTCACAGCAAGGTTCGCTGGTTCGATCCTCGGTGCAGTTGGCGTTTCTGTGTGGAGTTTGCATGTTCTCCCTGCATTCGCGTGGGTTTCCTTCGGGTGCTCCGGTTTCCCCCACAGTCCAAAGACATGCGGTACAGGTAAATTGGGTTGGCTAAGTTGTCCGTAGTGTATGAGTGTTTGTGAATGAGTGTTTGTGGATGTTTCCCAGAGATGGATTGTGGCTGGAAGGGCATCCGCTGCGTAAAAATGTGCTGGATAAGTTGGCGGTTCATTCCGCTGTGGCGACCCCAGATTAATAAAGGGACTAAGCCGACAAGAAAATGAATGAATGAATGAATTCAATTGGGAAGAGTACTATGTAGTTTTATTAAAAGCAAATACTGTGATTTGGAATTTTTGGGTAAAATATTGAGATTTTAAATAGTATATTATTTATAAAAAAGTATATACATTGTAATAGGTTGACATTTCAAAATATCTGTTATTATGAGACAAAAAAAAAAAAAGCAGCTGATTACTTTCAGAGAGAATGATCATTCTCCTAAAGCCAGCTCTTTTAACAGTGCCACGACAGCTCTTTCTGACAGCGAGGAACATTTAAAAGTATTATCCAAATATATGAATAATGAAAAATGACGAAAGAATATGTTTATATAAAGAAACAATATTTCAGTTGTGATTTTAAATAGTATATCATTTATAAATGAGTATGTACATTTTATTAGGTTGACATTTTATAAATTCTGTTATTATGAGAGAAAAAACCCTAAACAGCTGATTACTTTCAGAGAGAATGATCATTTTCCTAAAGCCAGCCCTTTTAATAGTGTCACCGCAGCTCTTTCTGACAGCGAGGAACATTTGAAAGTATTATTAAAATGTTTATAAGGAAAAATGAGGGAAGAATATGTTTATATAAACATTTTACATAACTATATTTGAATATACTGTACATGCTTTTACCCCAGTACATGTAGTTAAGGTCTGAAAGACGAATACTTTATACTGACCTATTGACATTTGCAGCAAGAAAATGCTTTAAATAATAATGTTCTAATTATAAATGTTAAACACCATAGTAGTTTATAATAAAACACATATAAATTTTTACTTGTATTTTCTGTTGATATCCAATCCAGAGAAACAACATTTCAGTTGTGATTTTAAATAGTATATAATTTATAAATGAGTATGTACATTTTATTAGGTTGACATTTCATAATTTATGTTATTATGAGAAAAAAAAAACCTAAACAGCTGATTACTTTCAGAGAGAATGATCATTTTCCTAAAGCCAGCCCTTTTAACAATGCCACCACAGCTCTTTCTGACAGCGAGGAACATTTGCTTTCCCTTGAGGTTGTGCATTTTGAATTCTCACATGTTAAGTGTTTGAAATCAAGGATTTTATTTGTGTTGGACAAACGCAAAGTCCCACATGTTTGAGAGATCATACAAAAAAAAAAAAAAACACTTCAGAATGGCTTTTATCCACACATAATGGACAGGAATACAAAAGCAACGACAAGACAGAAGAAATTCTTTAATCACGCGGGATGTGCTCAGCGCGGCTGCCATGTTCCAACATTACTCAAAGAAAGACTGAGAGCGTCTGCTTGGCAAATTAATTAATGGCTCCCCATTATCTCAAAACGCAAAGCAATTAAAGCGTAATTACGGACTCCATTTGTGCTGCTTTTAATAATTTTTTTCTTTCATAAGCCTCCGAGGATCAGAATTTCATATAGCATGCTTGTTTCCCGTAAATGATTGTGCAAATTATTGATGGTTTGACATTACTTAAGGACTGCAGTCGGCTTATTTTAGCTGCGAGAGGACTAAAAGCAGCTCGGGGTATGAGCAGTGTCTCTTGTCCACTTGCTGGCGAAGTCCTTTGTGTTTTTTTTTCAACGCACTGAAAGCTGTTGGTTTTCCACTTACCTCGAATCACCCATCAATTGACTTATTAGACGTTAAATACACACGGATGTGCTCCCTCTCTTTGATGGTTCATTTAGTCAATTAGGAACAGTAATGATTAGCCTCTCTAGCTAATCACCGGTTACAAATGAAGAAAATTGGCATGAGTAGCTTTTTTTTTTATTGAAGGGGGTTGTGTTTAAATAATGGCAGTTGAGCTGCGCAGCATAGAAAGAGTGATTATGGGGATTTCTATCTGGGATAATACTCAGCAATAAAAAAAAATTGCAAATATGCACACTATTGAATATTGACTCTTTTTTTTATGGATTTTATATCGAAGTTAAAATGGACGGTTCATCAAAAAAGACTTTCACAGTTCTAAAATAATTATTTTCACTTTCAAATTGGGTAAATTATGGACAAAACCAACCACTGGGTTAAAATCGGGCTATAAATTAAATTCAAAACATTTTACCCAGCAGTTTGGTGTACAGTGTGATTATAAATATATCGTAAATATATATAAACACAGCCAACACATATTTGAATATGCCAAGAAGAAAAAAAAATTCAAATGTGTGTTTTTTTGTGGAGTTTGTTTGTTTATTTGTTTGTTTTTAAAGATGTTATGAGAAAAATACATGGTTCTCAACAGGGACATTGCTAGGATCATTTACACAATTGCGACAATAAATGGTCTATATGTGTTCTTTCAGCCATTTTAGGTATTATGTATTTAAAAAAAATGTATGTCAGGCATGTAGAACTGGAAACATTTTCAGTACATGGTCCTCATGACTATCTGTTTATATAAACAGTTGAAGTGAGAATTATTAGCCCCTCTTTGATTTATTTTTCCTTTTTAAATATTTCCCAAATTATGTTTAACAGAGCAAGGAAATTTTCACAGTATGCCCTTAAAGCTACATTTTTTTCGATAGTCTACAAAACAAACCATCCTTATACAATAACTTGTCTAATTACCAAACCTGCCTTTTTAACCTAATTAACCTAGTTAAGCCTTTAAAATTCTTGAAAGTGTTTTGATAAATATCTAGTAAAGTATTATTTACTGTCATTATGGCAAAGATAAAATAAATCAGTTATTAGAAATGAGTTATTAAAACTATTATGTCTAGAAATGAGTCGAAAAAATCCGCTCTCATGTTAAAAAGTAATTGGGGAAAAAATAAACAGAGGGGCTTATAATTCTGACTTCAACTGTATATATGAGCAATATGGCACAAGTGCGATATTACTGTATACCAGCACTCTTGGGAGGCATGCGTTGGCTC